CTATTTTAGAGTTTCTGACAATTAAATTTGTAAGTTTTTAAAACAATTTTATTTAAATAATAACTACAAACGCATACTCTATATCTATATATGTGTATGTATTTCTTAATTTATGAAATAGTATAATTTTAGAAATATTATTGTTAAAAATATTTTATAATTTAATATATATATATTAAATATTATATATTAAATTATTATATCTGTATATTTTATATATATATAGAATCCAAAAATGTCAGATCGAATTGAATCGAATTTCTAAAAATATTTTTTGACTCAACATTGTTAGATTTTCAATAATTTCAGAATTTTTAATTCTTTCTCTTTAATTTTATAAATAAATACCAAAATGTTATTTAATTCTTCGAAATTCTTCTAACATTTTCAAGATATTTTCTAACTATGAGGTAATATTGCGATCCAATTCCCAACTTGTTTCAACCAAGACAATAGTTTTCGACATTTTCAGATTCTTAGACATCTTTAATAAATATTTAAAATCATAAATTATTCTTAGAAATATTTTGTAATTTAACATTATTTAGTATTTAAATATTTTCTATAATTTTTCTTACTTAAGATTGCCACTTTTATGAGTATATGATAAAGATCCTTGTATATAATCTCTATATCCTCCAACTGCTTCTACGAGAGGTGCAATAAAATTTTCCAAAAAACGTCGTAGACCCAATCTTACCATAAGTTTTAATAAGAAATTTCTATGATATAAACGCGTGGTTTTAAATTTTGCTATTAATCCTGAAGAAAGTACATCAGCATGCATGAAATTATCCATAAAAGAACCATTTTCATATAGTTTCATAATGGACAAAAGGAATGTTTCTGCAGTATCTCTAGGACCCAATGCCCTAAAAAATATCAATTATATGATATTTAGAAAAGTTAATAAAATTTTAAATTAAAAAAAGTATTAAAAATTATATAAATATTTATAATATAATTTTTCGAGAATCTTTAATATAGAATATATAAAATATATTTTTTATTAATTTGAATGTTTTTAAATATTATTTATAGATAATATTATAAATTATAACTTACTTGGCAATAGGATCAAATAAATGCCATGCAGCCAAAACTGCACTATATGGTTCTTCCATTATTTGTTGTATATGAGGCACAATCAATTCCAAACATGCTTCCCTTGCAATTCCAGTATGAATTAATAAATGTTCTAATTCCCTTGCAATTGCTTTAACTTTGCATTCACTAATTTTACAAAGGAATTTTGTTTTTGTTTTGAACATAAAATCTATATCATCTTCAGATTTTATAATAAAATTTAATTCACGAATTAAACTATTATATTCTTGTAACATTTCTACTATATTAAATAGATATTTGTAATATTTGGAAAATGGGAACAAACTTCCAGAAAGTATTGGTTGCAGAAACTGATGTGCAGATGGTGGAGGTAAACCCATATGTGTAATTGTTGGATAACGAAAAGGCATATCAGTTACCTGAAAACTTATATTAATGTATAATTTTATCATATATAATATATAATATGTTATCATAATATAATTAATTTAATGTGATCAAAATATTAATAATTTATTATTTAAAATACGAATAAATAATTATTTATTATTCGAAATATAAAGAATCAAATTTGAATAAAAATTTATTTTTTTAATTTATATTTTATATATATATAAAATTAAATGCATATACATTTCAGAAATGCATGTTTTAAAATGTAAGATTAATAATAAAATTAATAATAAATTTCCGTTCATTAATAATTTTTAATACAAATTGTAATTAAATATAATTTAAACTATTAAATATTTTTTCAAAAAATGTTATTAATTATATAATTAATAATTCTTCTTGATTTTATTAAATATTTTATTTATAATAATTAATATATTAATTATTATTATTATGTATAATAATTAATTAATACTTACTTCTATGTTGTCAATATCATAACTATTTGGTATAATATCAACTTGAAGTAATAAAGCAACAGCATTTCTTACACATTTAGGCAAACTATCAGCTGATATCTTCAAAATATTTAAACACGTTGCAAGTCTTTTTGCAAATGAAACCTTCTCAATATTCCATGTTGCTCGAAATTTATTAGACAAAAATATTTCCACAATTAAACAACCGAGAATTTGTTGTTCTTTAATACGTCCACTAGCCACAATTTGTTTATAATTTGTGAATGACTCGTGTAATTCAATTTGTGGTTTATAAACTTGAGAACTCATTTTATTTATGAATGTATGCATTGTTTCAACATGCATGATAGCTGTAACAGGATTATAATCTTTTGGAAGAATTATTGTCTGATTTATAGATTTATCTTGTTTAGCATCTTTGTCTTCGGTAGTAAGTAAAGAACCTCGAGAACGACTTAATAATCGACTTAAAACTAAAGGAGATGATTTTGATGTATTTATAATTGATGTTGATAATTCTTCTTCTTCAAATCCAGAACTATGACCTTCATCATCACTAGTTCTATTTCCAGATTGATCATTTCCTATAATAAATTATTGATTAATATTGATTAATAAAAATAAAATTATTTCACAAAATATTAAAAATTTTATATTAAACATACTATACTTATTAATTAAAAAAGATGAGCGTAATCGTGGTGGAATCTTACACCAATAAGGGGAAGGAATAATTTTTTGTGGATGTGGTTGTGTAAAAAGTTGAACAATACCAGAATTGGTTAAACTTGTGTGATTATCAACAAGTTGTAAACAAACATTTTTCGATTTTACCGCAGCTGAACCAGATAATCTATAATATAAAAAAGTTAGATAATAATAATGATGATATTAATATATATTATTGTATATTAAAATATCTTATACTTGTAACCAAAAGTTAAATCTATCCAATGATGTAATCTTTCAGAAACATAAAAACTTTCTAAAGCTTCTCTATGTCTTTCAATAAAATCTTCCGGTGATGTAGCCCATCCTGGAATTTCTAAATCTGGTAAATCTTCATGAATAGACTGTAATTTATTGATTGTTATATATATTTTACAACTAATTATATATATTATGATATAAAGATTAAATTGATTATTTTTATCTTGCCTTAAAAACTCTAGGATCAGTAAAAAATTGTGGTATACATTCATCTGGACTCCAATCATGTAATCTCTGTATAGAAGCAGGATATTCTCCTGGTACCCATTGTGGTCGCACATATTTACAAAGGACGGATTTATTATAGCGACGGGAAAGATAGACATAATATGTAATTTCTGATAATACATCCGACACATGATGTCCTACCTGTAAATATTATCAAAATAATGATCTATTAAATAATTATTATATTTTAAAATTTAATTATTAAATACTTACTTCAGTTGATTGTGAATCAAATGTTAAATCCAATTGTCTATCACCTTTGTTTAACCGAAATTTTGATTTTGTCAAGTCTCTCCAATTACCACCACATCTTGATGTAAAATCTGTGACCCAAGGCATCACATGATGACAACTTGGATCACCATATCTTCTGCCAGCCAAATTATTTAACGCAGTTAAATAATCATAATTACTAATACAATTATACACCCACATTTCACATAATTTTTCAATATTTTCATTCATTCCAAAATTAGAATTTCCTTGTAATGTTAAATTTGATAAAATTGTATCAAAATTTCTTTTACATCCATTAAAATTTTTGGCTCTTATTTCTTGATTATTAATAGAAATTTTGGAATATTCATTTTCAGACTTTATGTATATATTGTCATTTACTTTTGGTAACACCTAATAATATAAAATCTAGGAAAGTAATTATAATTTCAAAATTGAATAAATAAAAAATATCTAATATAAAAAACATGTAAATATTAACCTGAATAGTAAAATTATCCATAATTAATATATCACTAAGAGTAATTTCACCTAATACTAAACCTTTATCATGCAAGTCTCTAGATAATTGCAATAATTGATATATTAAAAACAATGGTTTTCCATGACTCATACTTAAAGCAGCAGGACTGTACATTACACATCTTTAACAGTAATAAATAATAGAGTTATTTAATATATAAAAAATTATAATTGAAATATATGTATAATATATACGTATATGCATAATATATACTTACTCGCGTAAAGAATATTGCGCTGTTTGTTCATGTAATGTTAAAAAAGCAGATGTAGTTTCAATAGCAAATAATATTGGAAGGAGATTGCAATGTACTTCAGTTGATATACCAGGCAATACAGATATCACTAACCCATTTTGTATTTGTATTAGAGTGCAACCATACATTTTTTGTAATACTTCTTGCATAATCCAAATATCACTTACATTAGCAATTATATTGTATTGATCTTTATGTTCTACACAATTCCATGGACCTATAAAATATAAAAAAAATTAATTATTTTTTATTAATAACTAAAGAATTGTATATATTGTATATATATTAAATTCATTTAAAAATACATACTGTAATATTTTTTATAACATTCTTTCCATAAATTTCGATAATTAGTTTCTGCAACATAATGCATCAATTGTGAATATGTCAAATCTGTATGAGTATTTCCATTTATATTTCTTCCTCTTGGAAGTGGAATAGCATACTTATGCTGTTTTTCATAAATCTGGAAATTATTATTAAAAATTATTATTTATAAATAGAATAAAAGCTTTAAAAATATTATATCAATTATGATAATTAATTAATAATTAATAACATAATATTATAATAATAAATAATTATATTATGTTCTAATTTACATATATTATTGACATATATAGCATATAAAATTATATGACAATGTAATCTATTTTTAAAGTTATAATTGTATAATGTTTTCAAAAAAAATTATAATTCGATCAATAATTAAATAAAATATTTGAAACAAACTAAAAAAGTGAGCATGCTTTTAATTTATTTTTTTACAGTTTATTCAATAAGTTAATAAGTAAATATATCATTTTTGCAGTTACTCAATAAATATATCATAATAGATTCATAAATAATTTAATGAATAAATAATAAAAGGATTTTTTTTGCTATTGTATTATTATTGTATATTAAGATTTCAGAATGCATTAAACACAATAATTACTTAAATTTTTAGTATTTTTTACGATATTCACATAATGTTTCTAATTTTTTTTTAGTAGACTTACTTTATGATAATAATAGTACAGCTATATTCATTAAAATTTGAATTTTAAATTCTTTATTTAAAAACTATTAATTGAAATAAATATATTTTATTTTGAAATTCATCTTTGTATTCTATTAAAATAATATAACTTACTATAATATAATATTGAATTTAAAAATTAAAATTTTCTTAATTTTTCCACAAATTTTTTTGCAAAAAAAAATAATATTTTCATTATGTAACCTAAAATTATTTCATTTTCAAAATATTTTTAAAAAAATATATAAAATAATGTAATTTGTATATATATATATATATATATATATATATATATATAAT